TTATATTGAACAATAAACAAAAAACTCTCATAACTTTCAGTGGGTAAATGATTCTTAGACGTATTATCTTGATACATTCCTGTTTTTGCATCAGTTGAGAAGGCAAACAGGTCCTTTTTTGTCTGTTTTACCTGTTGATTTCAGGAAATATTTTTTATGATACTTTAGTTAAATGTGTAGAGAATATAGTATAGTACTATCAGACTAGGGTGTTTGGATCCTAAATTATACCACAGACAGCCTAGTAAAGGGTAACTTCAGCAGTCCCTAAAAGGACAGTATAGGTAATAGTGCTCTCAAAAGAGGAAGTAAAGAGTAACATACATCAGTTTTTTAAGAATATATGATTACATCAGTGTGAGTCTTCTGTCCAGTGACGCATATCATAACCCCTGGGTGTTTTGTGAATTCCTGCGGCAAAAAAAAAACAAAACAAAAATTTAAAAAAACCCCTGCATTCTCCAATGAGTAGTTAGGCGGTCCTCTTACAATAGCTTTAAGGTTAGTCATTACCAACCTAAAGCTTTTCAGCTTCTTACAAGTGGTTAGAATTTGGGATCTACTGGCATCTTTTTAACGACCCTGCTTCACCTACGTAGCATGATCCGGCATTGAAATAGAACTTTGATAGAGGAAAAAGCAACATTTATTCAGTTTATTTTAGCAGGTCATTTCAACAAACATTTATAAGCAACTACTGTATGCTAGACACTTTAGTAGGCAATAGGCATCAAAGAAAAAAAGATGGTGGCACCAATGTTACATATACTCAAAAAAAGACTGGTAGTTCCCACCCTGTAGAGCTTCTTACTCTCTTGGGAGATACAAGTAAACATATGAGTAAATACAAGATCATTTTAAGAGGGAGATCACTAACAACATGGAGAATCAACAGATGCTTCCCTTATGAGGTAGCCCCTGAAGTAAGCCTTGGAATAAGGTTAGGGCTCTAAGAGATGAGTGTGAGGGGGTATATTCTGTTGATGGGAGATTAGTCAGTCAGCAAATACTGTGTTATGGGGCAATGCTTGGTGCTAGAGAAAGTCATAACTGAAATAGTTCCAGCTCTTAAGGAGATTACATTCTGAGTAAAGCATGGAGGCGCAAGAGATGAAATATCGGATTGATAGGCTAGTTTGGCTGGAACTTAAGAGTATGCCAAGGTGGGGAATATGCAGTAAGTCTAGAACAATAAACTGGAGCCAGACTATGAAGGGCTTTCATGCTGGCAATTAGTCAGTCAGCAAACTTTTATTAAGTGTTTACTCTGCCAGGTACTGTTCTAGTTATTACAGATACAAATAAAGACAAAAGCAGGCCTTAATGTCAGGGAACTTATATTCATATACGTGTGTGTGAGTGTGTGTGTGTGTGTGTGTGTGTGAGCAGAAAACAACTAGTACCTTCAAGAGGTGTATAGCAGAGATGGAAAGTCATTTCAGAATAGAAGACGCTGTTGGCTGAAGGGACCTGGGAAGACCTCCTGCAGAAAGTAGGATCTGAGCTGAGGCTTGAAGGAAGCCAGGCAAAATAAAGATGAGGAAGGAGAAGAGCCAGTGAGAAGGCATGGAGAAGGGAGATGGAGGGCCTCTGTGGGGAATAGTCATAGTCCAGTGTAGCAGCAGGATTGTTGAGTATGTGGAGAGGAGTAGAGCAGAAGAAGAAAGGTATGAAGGAGCTCGGTTATGAAGAACTTTAAATACCCAAACTTTATATTTGATACCAGAGGTAGTAAGGAGCCACTAGAGGGGTGTCATGGTCAGATTTACAGTTACATTCCTTTGGCAGCTGTTTGGAGGATAGATTGTATTGTAGTGAGACAAGACAGGGAGACCGTTCAGAAGGCTATTGTAAGAATCCAGATGAGGAGTGATGAAAGCCTCAACTAGAGTGGTGACTGTGTGAATGAAGAGAAATGAATTTATATAAGAAATTTATCAAGGTAGAAACGCCTCATCTGGCATCTAATCTGAAATGGATATATGGGGTGAGTGAGAGGGAGTAGCTGATGGCAATGAGGCTTTGAACCAAGGTGGCATGTCCAAAAGAGGAGTCATTATTTTCCCCCTAAACCCATCCCTCTTCTAAACTTCCTGATTACTTTTCAAGAACACCACCAACTACCCCCTCATTCCCACTGCCATCACTTAGTTTCACAACTTTCATGTAGACTCCTCACATATCCATTCTGTTCCCAAATTAGCTATTTCTACTTTGACAAGATCTTTCCCATAAGACCATTTCTCTCTCTTCACACAACCACCACCCTAGTTCAGGCCCTCAGCACATCTTGCTTAAACTACTGTTGAAGCCTCCTAATGCATCTCTCTCTCATCCAATCCTTCCTCTTTATGTTGCTAGTGATTTTCTTTAGGTATAGATCTGACCATGAAAAATCGAGCGGCCCCCTTACTTCTGGGCTCATATATAAACTCTTCTGTTCTGTATTTAGAGCTCCTCATAACCAATCCTTTCTTGTCTTTCTAGTCTCTGTGCTCCTTTTTCCTCTCTCTACTCCCACTGTATGGTTCAGTCACACTGGCCTACTTCCTCACACAGAACTCTCCATCTCCTATTTTCATGCCTTTTCACTGACTGTCCTCTATCTCTTCCCTCCTTTTTGTGCTTTTTTAGAATCTATGGCTTCCTTCATGACTCAGTTAAAGTTCTGCCATTTGCAGGAGACAGTTTTCTGTACCCCTAGCTGCTAATGTTTTCCTCTCTAAGGTTACCTTCTATCTACTTCATGTGCATATTGTATGTACCCATTTACATGGTGCTGTTTTTTCCATTAGAATGTAAGCTACTTGAAGACAGGACCTGTTTTTTTTTTTCTTTTTGTGCCCCCAGCATGGTGCCTGGCACTTTGTCAGTGCTTGATAAATATCTATTGATTGATTAAGAAGACCAGCTTGAATGGATCATGTAGTGTGTGAAGGGGAGTCATGATTAATAAGACCAGAAAAGTAGGTTGAAGCTAGGTTTTGGTAAACAGAGGAGTTTCTCTTTGCTCTTAGAGATAATAGGAAACCCCTGAAGTTTGAGCAAGAGGATGACATGATCAAAAATAGATTGATGGGAAAGATTTGAGGCAGGAAAACAATTAGGAGGTTATTGCCACTTCCCAGTCAGGGTTGTGGTTTTGTAACTTGAGAAAAGGTAATGTATTCCGTAGATGTTGTGGCTACTAATAGAATATGTGAGGTGAATGAGAACAAGGAGCTGGGAATGATGCTGAGGTTGTGAACTTTGATAACTGGAAGAGGTTTGTGTTGCTTTTGGCAGCATTGGGGAGGTTTGGAAAAGGGATGGGTTTTGGGGAAAGATGATTAGTTAATTTTGTTTTGTACATGTTGAGTTAAAGATGCCTACAAGACATCTAATTTGAAATGTCCAATGACTAGTTCTTGATTAGAGCTTACTAGAGGGAAAAGGCATATATCTATATCTGTATCTGTATCTATGTCTATATCTGTATCTATATCTATATCTATATCTATATCTGTATCTATATCTATATCTATGTTTGGGAGTCTTCTGCTTAGAGATTACAGTGAAACCTATGTAAGCTGATGAAATCACCAGGAGAGGTTGTAGAGAAAAAAAGACAAGAAGGTGCAGGACAGAGCCTTGGGGTACACCTACAGTTGCAGGGCATGATAGGGATGATGGTCTAGCAAAGGAGACTGAGGAGTGATCAGACAAAGGGAAGGAGAAACGAGAGATATCAGTGCCATGACAACCCAGAGAGGGGCTAATAATCTGGAAGAGAAGATAGACAGTAACATCAAATGCTTTCATCCAGAGGTGAAAGACTGAGAAAAAGCTAGTGGATTTGACAAAAGACCATTGGTAATATTGGAGCGAGCAGTTTGAGTTGAACGATTAGGTCAGCCATCAGATTTCACAGAGTTGAGAAGTGAATGAGAATTGAGGAGGTGGAGTCAATGAATGTGGATAAATTTTCTAGGAAGTTGGCCGATTAAGGGAGGAGAAATAAAGGATAATAGTGTGCAGGGTTGGTAGGGTTTAGCAAGGGATTTTAAGGATTGAGAAAACATGAGCCTGTTTTTTTAGGAAGCAGGAAAAGATGTAGAGATTGAAGATTAGAGAGGGAAAGTAGAATGATTATGGAGGCATTCTCCTATAGCAGTAGTCTAGGCAATAGGTGATGTGAACCTGAGCCCAGTTGGTGACTGATTGAGTGGAGGGAAGGTGTGCAAGAGATGTTGTGGAGGTAGAAATTAACATTATTAAGTTTTGGAAAAATGATATTCTTTTCATAGGTATATTTATCCATGATATTCCTCTTATCCAGATGTTCTTGTTATCCAGAGATCTGTCTACCTGATTTTTGAAGTACTATTTCACATCTTGCTGTTTGTGTAAAACCTAAGGCTATGTGTTTCTCACAACTGATGAAATTGAGTCCAAAACAATACTTCCAGAATTAATAACTAGCCAGCTGTCTTATATGTAGCTGGTGCACAGTAAATGCCTGCTAAGTTGTTGAACTTTTATTTTGAACTATGGAACCTTTAGCAGACACAGTTGTTTTCACAGTTTCACAGTTGCTTTTTTGCTATTCATTTTTATTGTTAGCAAATTGCTTTGCTAAATTATAGCAGTTCATTTTTCAGAGGTTCACAAGGCAAGTAGTTTATAGACATTTGTAAATGTATTTTACTCATCATAGAGTATTGAACAGAGGTTTATGTGTTCTGTGAAATGAGTAGAAACAGAGATGAGCCTTTTATTACTGAGCTAATTAGCTCAGGTCTAGTTAATTCTCTTCACTATTTGTCCAGTTGTGCAGAGTCCTTGGGCAGAGGGAAGACAACTCTGGTTATGCATTACTCCACATTGCCTGTGGCTCTATATATCCAGATTTTTGTTTGCCTAACATCCAAACTGTGAATGACTTAGGCTGCCATTTTGTTTAAAAGTCCTTAATGTTCAATTTCAGGTACCTTTCTAATCTGAACGTTTGTTTCCCACAGTGATGGGGAAGGAAGGAAAAGGACTTCATCTATCTGTAGCAGTGACTCCTTAAATGCTGGAGGGATTCCTGTCACTCCTCGACGTGTCTCTTGGAGGCAGCGCATTTTCCTTCGAGTTGCTTCACCTATGAATAAATCTCCCTCAGCAATGCAGCATCAAGGTTTGTATATCAATGAGAATCTCTTCTGAGCATTATTCTTCAGGGAAGAAAATGAAAATTTTGATATAGAAAGAGGTTTATGTTGTTTTTAAAAAAATCTCTTCTTGCTCTGTTTGTTATGGATAGGCAAGTATAATATGGAAGATAAAATATAAGGATACTTTGTCATATTGTTTCCTTCTCTGGAAGGAATCAATTATGTTTTAACCCATATGTGTTGCCACTGGGGCTAAGAAATACCACAGGATGCCACTGCCAGGCCTAAATTATTATGAGAAATTTTAAAAAATTAGAAAAATGAAAAGGTGTGAAAAAGCTGCACATTGTAAAGACTGGATGCCATTAAAAGCACTCTCTTTAATTTTGTAGCTGTGGTTGGCTGTTTTGCTTTATAGTATTTTTGTACTTCTCTCTGTGGAAGTACTCAGTATGAGTACACATGTGAGTAGATTCCAAATATCAAAAATAAATACAAGTTATTTTGTGGGGAGAAGTAATAGCAGCCTGGGTGATCAGAAGAAAGCTTCATGTAGGAAAGAGGACTTGGGCCCCTCTTTGAAGGGAACTAGGCCTTCTAAAGGCAGCAGTCAGGAAGGACCATGTTTCCTGCATGGAGGACAGGCTGGGTAAAGATTTGGAGACAGGTGATGGTATGTAGGCTCCCTCATTAGAATGTAAGCTCCTTGCATGTATTCTTTCATCCTTTGTATTTGTATCTTTTATCTTAGTAGATACTTAATAAATACTTATTGAGTGACTGATTGACGGGAGGGACAGAAAAAAGTACATTTTGGTTATACCAAACAGTGTGTGAAGGAGAGTAATGTAGAATAAGTCTGGAAAGGTAATCTGGAGCCAGATTGAAGGGCTTTAAATGCCAAACAGAGGAATTTGTATTTGGTCTTAGAGGCAATAGGGAGCCCAGGAGATCCTTGAACAGGAGAGTGTGACATAGTTGGACTTAATGCATTAAGAATATCACTGTGATAGCTTTGTAGAGCATGGTTTCCGATTGATGGATTCTTTATGGTTAATAGAAAATTTACTTTCACTTCTGATTTTTATAAGCTGAAGAAAATTAATAAATAGCTTGTTTTTTATAATATCCCATTATATAATTGTGTCATTCCAGAAATATTTATTATCAACTCATAGGGTACATTGAGTCATGCTAGGTGCTGGAGGAATAGACTTCAAGCACTTGATCATCTAAAATTGAGATGAGACATTAAAACATGTAGTTCACTGGGTATATAGAAGTACACCTTGCTTTAAATCCAGTGATGAATTAATGAATGAAAAAACACTTATTAATGCTTAGTACAAATAGAAAAAGTGAGACAATTCCTGTCCTAAAAGAGCACACCCCCTAATTGAGGGAAGACCATACATAAAAGAATGTTTAGCTGCAAGGCAGATGGAAAGGCCTAGCAGTCCCAAGGGCACAACAGTGGGGCGGATGTGTTTTGTATATTCATTTTTCAAGTCTACCATGTTCTTCATTATACACTAAAGATTTCTGTAAGCACAGGTTCTGACCATGTTATACCCCCTCTCTCACCCCCCAGCTTCTGGTGCATTCCAGGGGCTCCTTTTACTTTCGAGATCAAATATAAAATCCTCTGTTTGAATTTTTTTTTCTCTGTTTGGATTTTAAAACATTTCACCACCTGGCCCCCTTCTTTTCCTTCCAGTCTTCTTATGCTTTGTTTTCCTTCAGATATTTTTTGATTCAGCAACATTGGCCTACTTGCACTGTCTCCCATGTCTGGAATGTTCTCTCCTTACTTACCTCTGCCTCTTGGCTTCCCTGGCTTCCTTCAAGACTCAACCCAAGGGGCAGCTAGGTGGCACAGTGGACAGAGCACTGGCCTTGGAGTTAGGAGGACCTGAATTCAAATTTGACCTCAGACATTTGACACTTACTCTCTGTGTGACCCTGGGCGAGTCACTTAACCCCACTGCCTAGCCAAAAAAACAAAAACAAAAACAAAAAACAAAAAACAAGACTCAACCCAAATCCCTTCTTGTGCTGGGAAGTCTCCACCACTCCTAGTGCCAGCCCTCTAAAATTACCTCTCTTTGTATCTTGTACATACATAATACATACACATATTGTCTCCCAATATATCTAAGACATATTGTCTTAGAATGTGAAGTCCTTGAGGGCAGGAACCATGTTTTTGTCTTTGTATCCTTTGTATCATTGTACAGTTCCTAGCAAATAGTTAAGTGAGTAATTTATGTTTGTTGATGGACTAAATTGACATTCATATTTGACCTGCTTAGTTCTGAGGGTGGATTTAAGAAGAAGAAATATTAAATAATACTTAATAGTAATAATTTAAGCCTTAAGAGATGATTTATTTCTAACCCACTTCAATGTTATTTCTTGTACTGTCATAAACAGATTTATTGCAGAAGTACTATACTAACAGGAGAAAGCTAATTTAGTTGGAAGCACCTATTCTGAAGGTATTGTGAAAGAAGACACTGTGCATAAAGAGGAAGTGGTACAATTATGTGTGTTTTTGTTTCATTATAAGAAGGAAGTTTAGTAGGGGAATTCAGTCAGTTCACCTAAGTCATTGATTCAAATAACAGTCCGAAATGTTACCAGAGACGTAAGTCCACTTTCCTGAAAACACCCACTTGTGGTACATGAGAGATTCCCAACATTAGAAGAAAAAAGTCTGTAATGCACTTTGCTAATAAGAAGTGCATGTCATTACTTTATTTCTTTGTAGATGGACTTGACAGAAACGAGCTGCTGCCTTTGTCTCCTCTTGCTCCAACTATGGAAGAAGACCCTCTTGTCTTGTTCTTGCCTGGTGAGGATGAATCAGAGAAGGTTGACGGCAGAAGAAAATCTGAAGAACTAAGGAGTTTGTGGAAAAAAGCTATCCACCAACAAATTTTATTGCTTCGAATGGAAAAAGAAAACCAGAAACTGGAAGGTTAGCCACTCAGAGAAACAGGGCTAGAAAGATAATACTGTAATTTAAGGATGTCATTTATGTACTCGCCTGGAATAGATTTGTTGCATTTTTTTTTTTGGTGAAATGTTTTTGTTGGATAGTCAATATATAAGAAAAGTCTGGCTTGAGGTAATTTAGGGTTTGATTTGTGCTTGAATTATGATAAGAGGTCAGTTTTAAGTATAGAACTTAAAACATCAAAAGGTAAAATAAAAATTGGAATTTAACTCAACTTTTAATGATTTTAAGTGTGATGCAAAATAAGTTTAATTTTGAGGCAAACTATCTACTGTTTAAATATGATTCAATATTATCAGGCTTATTAAAATCTACAAAGGATTAGTCTGAGTATTTTAATAGATTCCTTTTATGGGTGAGCATTAGTTTCTTACCATCTGTTAGAAATTCCTCTCTTTGTGATAATTTATGATAATTTGTCCATTAAGAGAAAGCAACATGAAAGCAATTTGTTACTCTTGTCTTTGTTAATACCTTGTACCTTTGCTTCTCCTCTCTTTGCATGTTGGCTCTGATTTGTAGAACCGTCTAGGAGACGGAATGGGTAGAGTGCTGGGCTTGCAGTCAGGAAGTCTTGAGTTAAAACCTGCCTCAGACAACTTAAGGTGTCTGTGTGACCCTAGACAATTCTTTTAACCTCTGTCAGCTTCAGTTTCCTCTCCTGTAAAGTGGGGATAATATTACAGTATTGTGAGGATCAGATGAGACAAAAGAGTAAAGTGTTTTATAAATCTCAAAGAAGTATAAAAATGCTGTTGTATGACTACAAGTACATGGGAGTATAAGCCTGCCCCTGTATAATGATCCTCTTTCTTTCCTAAGAACCTTCTAAAATAATTTAAATAATAATAACTTAATATGTAGCAACTTGTTTCACAGAGTACTTTACAGAGTGCCCTACAGTCCTGTGATATAGGTATTAAAATTGTTATCCTGTTTTTTCAGATGAAGAAATTGATATTATGAAAACCACTATAATCTCTAGAGATTTAAGATGATCATATCTTTTTTAAACTGTGAAATGTAATATCTAGCCCTAAATCATAGTTCTTGAATACACTTTGGTTAACATGAACTTGTGAAGAGTCAAGAAAAGTTGGTGTAATTCTCTTTAAGTAATTAGTCGTGAAATTGTATCCCATTAACAAGAGAGGTGATTTCCGCGGGAACAATGTGATGTAATGTGGTCAGACTGCAGTTCAATCTTACATCCTTTCTAGCTATGTGACTACAGGAAGGTCACTTAATTGTCCTGTACCTTAATTTACCCAGATATAAAGTGAGGATAATAATGCTTTAACATGTACTTCACATTAGCATGAAATGATTTAAAGTATATAAAGGACTTTACCAACTTCAGAATGCTATATAAATGCCAATTTTTGTTATTAGTTACTAGTAAAAATTCTAAATTCAGATAGTAATGTTTTTTTCATCATGGAATCAGAAAGCAATACCTTTACTTTTTAGGGGAGAGGGAACTAAGGTTCTTGGGGCGGGGGGGAAGAGATTACAACATCCCAAAGAGACCGGGGCAGAACCCGGGTTTCTTAACTTTCAACCTCGAACTTTTTTCATTATTCAGTTTTGCTTCCTTAACTAAATACTTTGCTACATGAAAAATTTATTTATTATTTCACACAATACAGGTGCCTTGTTAGATTGTTAGTTTTTTTATACCTCAGAGGACAGTGGATCAACAGAGTTCTAGATGAATGTGGTAGAATTCTAGCCAATGAAAATACCAGCTCCTAATATAGTTTTAACTGGTGAAGATGACCCAGAGAAGATGAGAGGGAGGGAAAAAAATCATAACAACTATGAATTTAGTGGAGAAAATTTAAACAGATCCTTTTTGAAGGATCTCCATATTAAAGCTTAACATGGAGCCAAATTATTAGCTGTAATTTTTTTTTAAGTGCTCTTTTCCTAAAAACCACCTGGTAAATGTGTTAGAATATAAGCATTAACCAAAGTGGGAGCCAATCTATTGTTTAAAAGCCATCTAGTGGCAACTGTTGTCAGACACAAGCTTTCTGTAATGCTGTCAATATCTTGTTATTGTTTCCTATTTTAAATATGTTGGCATGAAAATAATAATTTTTTCTATTGTTTTTTCTGCTATCGAGGACTCTTATTTTTGATAGAGATTTGTTTTACAGAAGGTAAGGTTATTTAAGTAACGTATGCTTGAGTGAATCCAGATTTTTCTGAGTCAATCTTTTCCCTAACAAAAAAAAAAATTTCAGCTGACCTTAATAAATAAAAACAAAAATAAGTTTAAAGTGTTTTCGATTCTCTTTTAAAAGTCAGGCAGTTATTCAGGAAAGAAACAAAGTTTACACATTGCTTAAGTAAAAAGTATTGGGTGGAGTAGCTAGGTGGTGAAGTAGGTAGAGCTCTGACCTTGGAGTCAAGAAGACCTGAGTTCAAATCCGGCCTCAGACACTTGACACTTTCTAGCTGTGTGACCTTGGGCAAATCACTTAACCCCGACTGCCTCATCAAAAAGCAAAACAAACAAACAAACCCATATACATATTATATATGTATATATGTATATATATGCAGATATATATGGAAGGTTTTTGTTTTGTATTAAATATTCGTATTTCATAGGGATATTAGAGCTAGCAGGGACCTCAGACACTAAGTTACACACCTCATTTTACAGATGAGGTAACTAAGGCCCTGTGGAGATAAGTGACTTGTCTAAGGATGCATAGTTTAGTATCAGAAGCAGTATTTGAACTCAAGACCTCTGATTATAGAGTCAATACTCTTTCCCTGTTCTGTTACCCTGTCCGGTGAGATGAGGTAGAATAGGGGTTCTTGAAACTTTTGAAAAACCAGAATATTTTAAGCTTCATTTTAATCGTATTTTTTTTCACCTTTAAAACCTCACTAAAAGCCATGCCCACATTATACTAGTTGGTTTATTCTCTGAAAAGTGGAGACACATTGGGTATTTTCACTCTTAGTATTGGCATTGCTATAGAGTGGAAAGTTAGCCTTTTTCAAGTAGTAAAGGCCCATTAGTACTTGTTGAATCTGTCAGAGTGTATATAGTTCTCACATTCTTGTCAATATTTGTAGTTTAAAGAAGAAATAGTGGAGTAGATGGGGACATTTTTTCATACTTGTCACATGTAAATTATTTAGACTTTTAAGAATGCCAGATATGGCACTTGTAGCTTATCACTTTGATTCAGGGATTGAAGTCTTCTGCATAATAATAAGAATGGTGATTTGCCTTTATTTGTATCAAATGATCATATTGTTTATATAATAAAGAGTAAAATATGCTTAGGAAATTCTTAATAATTTTTTGTATGAGATATTTTATGATTTGAGGGCCTGTTTATGTATAATTTTTACATTTCCTTTTAAGAAATTTTTTATTGAGAAGTTTTCAGTGACCACTTGTTTGAAAGCTCTTGTGATGATTTTGCTATTATTTCAAAATGTCAGAACAAAAAAAAATCGTCAGGTTTGGTCTTACAACCTTTTTTCTTGCTTTCTTTTAGCAAGCCGTGATGAACTCCAGTCCAGAAAAGTTAAATTAGACTATGACGAAGTTGGTGTATGCCAAAAGGAAACCTTACTGTCATGGGATAAGAAGTTATTAAACTATAGAACTAAAATCAGATGTGATATGGAAGATATTCATATTACTCTTAAAGAAGGTATTGGGGACAGGGGAGTATCACACTAGTTTTTCTTAGAGGTACCATATCACAGTATTTTAACTTTGGCCTTGATAGCTGTGACACTTGGTAATAAATAAAAGTTTTTTCTGTCTCTGACCAGTTTGGCAGTTGCTAAGAGCACAATGATAATAAAGCAAAAGCAGCAGATTTGACTTTTGTATGAGTCATTCATTTGTGGTATGGACTTCCCTATCAATCCCAGCTAGCAGTTCCCAACTGTGTGGTATTGATCACAAGGGACAGAGGGTACCCCCTCTACCACTTGGGTATTATAAAAACAACTCAGAGTGCATGCCCTACTCATGATGGATTGGTAGCATATCCTACATGTACAAAAGAAAATTCATTACTATCATCTGATCATAATAGCTTTTTATAGTTCACTTAAATATATATTATATATATATATACATATACACATGCATATACATACATATATATACCTACTTAAGGAGATTGTGGGAAGAGCGTGTGTGTGTGTGTGTGTGTGTGTGTGTGTGTACACATAAGATTCCTTAGTCACATGACACATAGAATCATAGTATCTCAAAGTTGGAAGGGACGTCAAATTTGATAGACCAGTCTATCCCTTAGTTGTTTGATTCTTGTTTTTATGCCTTTGAGATATGTGATGTTTTGAAATTATTCTATGAATCAAACTATGTTCAGAACTTTAAAAAATGTATTATCAAATTTTGAACCTGAATTCATTGTATTAAATAGAAACCTGTCCAACTATCCTCAGAAGTTTAGCCTTCTCCTTCGTGAATCTTTACCTGATTCTATCCTCTCTTCCCTCCCCAATTTAATGAGATTCCCCTTTCAATCTTCAAAACACTTTGTGCTGAAAAAAATGCACTTCTTCCATAATAGTATGTATTTTAGTTTTTCCCCTATTAGGTTGTAAACTCCAGGAGAACAGGGACTATAGCATCTCCTTTGTGGCTTTCTTGAAAATGTTTATTGAATAAATGAATGGGTGTCTATTGATTTAATGTATTAAACTGTTACTAAAACTCCAAGAAGAGCCTGAAAGTATTCTAGAATTCTTTGAAAATTGGTGCTTTTGTTTATTGGATACATTAATAATATATTTTAAATTTTAATAGAAACAACAGAAATGACCTTTTTCTTTGATGATCTAGAAATCTTAAGAAAAATTAAAAGAATTAACTTTTCAGGAAAAGTATATTAAATAAAATGCAGGCAAGATTTAGATTTGTAAATGCATATTTTTTAAAGGACTTTCAAATCTATTTTAGAAAAATTTCTTTTTTTTTTAAAAAAAAAATTGAGGTATGGGATGTATAATTAAGAACAAATTCAGGTGTCAGGATTTCATTTAACAGTAAATTTTAAGCTACCTCAAGATAGGTCATTTACTACCCTGTCAATACAACCAACTGAGAATAAAATAACTTATTTTATTGACTTAAGCAGTAATGACTTCAGGAAGCAGAAGTCTCATATCCCTTCATTACAAAAGTATTAAAAGCAGTCATATTACTGTTGTTTCTCTGGTGACCTAAAATGTATTCAACCCAGCAAACATTAAGTGCCTTCTGTATAAAGTACTTTGTGCTGGACACTGTTGTTGTTGTTCAGTAATTTCAGTTGTGTCTGACTCTTTGTGACCCTTTTTGGGGTTTTCTTGGCAAAGATGCTGGAGTGGTTTGCCATATAGGATATACAAATTAGACCCAGTCCCTACCCAGTGAAAAAATCAGTCATTTTATTAATAAAAGGTTTTCCTAAGCAGAACAGCACCTAAGATATTGACCACTATTCTTGCCCCCACCCCCAGTGACTGAATGCCATTGTTTTGAGCTGGCCAGAGAATTTGAGTTTTTCTTTAGTTCTACCCCCACTATATGTGACTCGGTTCAACTCTCATTTTCTCATTTTTTTCCTCCTTTGAATAGGTAAATATTCTATGTGACATACCCTGCAGAGGTGTTATATGGGTTACTTTCGGACTGTCAATTTCAAAATATATGTTATGCATAATTATAAAATAACAGAGACAGAAGAAACCTTAATATTTATCTAGTACAGTTCTGTCATTTTGCTTATATATGAAGATTTATTCAAAAACTTCAAACCAACTAAAAGATGAAAGTAGTGTATTTGCATTATAAATTTAGAGATTTCTGCGTGGGATTAAACTGATTGGTTGTCTTGGAATGTTTTCTGTTCAAAAGATAAAGGCAGCTACAGGATTAAACTTGTTTAAATTACCCTTCTGTCATTATTTAATGCATTACTTAATCTTAGCAGGTGGCATGGCCTAATGTTACTACTGTCAGCATTGCATACAGTACTACTGATGTAATTTTGCAAGCTAATTCAAGTGTTTAAACTCTTGTTGGTTTTTCTCTTTGTTCTTAGGGGTGCCTAAAAGTCGCCGAGGAGAAATTTGGCAGTTTTTAGCTCTACAGTATCGTCTGAGGCACCGATTGCCAAGTAAACAACAACCTCCTGACATTTCCTATAAAGAGCTTTTGAAGCAGCTCACAGCTCAGCAACATGCTATCCTTGTAGATTTAGGTATGGTTGCCATATTGATAAATAGCTTACTAAAGTGCATATCCTGTCCTTTTGTTGAAGTTATTAATGGCCCTTTCTTTTCTGGGAGAAAGGATGTGCCTATATCCAATTCCATTCTGCTTTCTATGGTTTTTAGACAATTCTCTAACAAAACCTTTTTGAAGGTAGTTTTATTTGCCTTAGTTCTCTTTCTTCTCCATTGGGTTGTGTCATTAGAACAGAAGACTTCTTTGAGAGTCCTATGTGGTAGGCGTTCAGTGACTATTTGTTGAATGAATCTAGGAAACAATGAACAAACCTAGAAAGAATGGTGGCAATGACTGTGAACTAGTCTGAGAGGGATTTTGGAGGATAGATATCCCAGATAGTGGATTCCATGCCTATTGAAGTGAAAAATAATGAGAACAAATTTGGGGGGAAATTGAGAAATAATGACAAAGAAAGGCTTTCAAGAAAAATAATGAGAGCAGATTTTGGGGGAAATTGAGAAATAATGACAAAGAAAGGCTTTCAAGAAAAAAGGGCATATAAAAATCATAAAACCATGTTGATTGGGTTCACTGTAAATTTTGTGTTACATAATCTCTCATTGTAGCAAGGCAATCCTTTTATACCTTCCTAATCAGTTCACCACACAGTGACTATTCCAGACCTTTTCATGCTTCCTCAAACCTCCCATGGCACCCCTTTCCCCACTACTATCTCAGCCAAGGACCTAGCCTCACACTTCACTGAAAAAAATCGAACTCTTATTCATTGAGAGTTTCCTCTTCTTCCCTTATATAAAAGCGTATATTTGTGTTTTTTATTTTGGTTAATTTTATTTAACTGAAGAAATAACAATGTAATAGAGATTATGCTTTTTCTTAAAAAGGGGAAAATTGATATTACAACCATCTGTATCTCTTCAGCCTTTACATATTATTATCTCACTTATTTCTCGTTTATACTGTAGATTAACTATGATTACAAATTCCTAGAAAAATCACTTATTTACATATGTGGGAAAGAAAGCAAAAAATTTTTAGATTGGCACCTCTGCAAGTTCTGGTAGAAAGTAATTGTTCAGCAAAAGCATAAAATCTGAGAAGCTAACATAAGATCTCATTTTCTTTTGAATGAAGAAATGTCATACCAATACTGTTACAGTTTTGGTAGTGGAGATGCATTTGTTACAGTACTTAGTTGTTACCATTTGGAGATTTCTGACTAAGTTGCTCCCTAGCTGAAGTTGCTTCATGTTAATTTCATGCCCCAAGATGGATTTTTGAGGGAAATATTTTAAAATTTTTATCATTTTTCTCTTTCCTTTTTGTCTTTCCTTCTTTCCTTTTCCTTTTTAAAGCATTATAGAACTGACAGTTATTCAGGCACATGTTCCATGATCTTACAGAGGAAATTTTAAGGGCTTTCCAAGATAATAGTATGGAGCCTAGAGGAAATTCTGGGGAGAAGAGATTTCCTAAATGTGAAGATAAGTGGGAAAACTGCCTCCAATGTCAAATTCCTAGAAAAGGAGTAGGAAGTCTGTATGACTGACTAGATTTCCCCTTGAAATTAGATGATGATAACATTGTTTAAGAATTGTGTTTTAAGTTAAAACATGAGCTCTGCTGGAATAATCTGAGTTAATAACAAATTTGAATCCGTGGGTTTCTTTGTGTCAAGACTTCGCTTTAACACCAGTTCATTCCCCCCCGCCCCCGCCAAAATTAATCTGCTCTTTTGCAGGAGAAAGTTGTTTTAATGTATTTGCTGAGGTGAACTGGGTGGGTGAGTTTGTATAGTGAATAGAATATTGGAACAGAATGGTCTGGATTAGCTGGATCAGGGGTGGGGAACGTGGAGCCTTGAGCTCACATGTGACCGTCTAGGTCCTCAAGTGCAGCCCTTTGACTGAATCCAAACTTCACAGAAAAATTGCCTTAATAAGCAAATCCACTTAATAAAAGGATCTGAATAAAAAGTTCTCTGAAGTTTGGCAGTCAGAGGCTGCACTTGAGGACCTAGAGGGCCACATGTGGCCTTAGGGCTGAAGGTTCCCCACTCCTGAGCTAGATGTTGGTTAGCTCTGGTTTCCTTTTACATCTAAATATTAGTTTAGTTAACCTCAAGTGTGTGTGTGTGTGTGTACATTTGTATACATACATATGTATACATACGTATACATACACATACATACACACATAATTTTTTTTCCTCTCTTACTCTAACAGGAAGGACCTTTCCCACTCATCCTTACTTTTCTGTACAGCTGGGATCTGGGCAGCTATCCCTCTTTAACCTTTTGAAAGCATATTCTTTGCTGGATAAAGAAGTGGGTTACTGCCAAGGGATTAGTTTTGTGGCCGGAGTACTGCTTCTGCATATGAGTGAGGAGCAAGCTTTTGAAATGCTCAAGTTCCTCATGTATGACCTCGGATTCCGGAAACAGTACAGACCGGACATGATGTCATTACAGGTGAGTCAGTCCTCTGTTGTAAACAAAACAAGATCTTGATAGCAAATATCTTAGTAATAACTCCATTCACATTTAAGGTAGGTCAGAGACCTCAATTAAAATCTTGGAGTGAAAATAAGCATTGGAATGTAGGTAAATACACTATTCCTATTGTTTTACTGGATTTTCTTAGGATATGGGGATGTACTAATAATTACAGATAACCCATTTTTATACTATATTTTTTAAACCAAGTCCTTGAAATAATCAAGCACTGGCCCTGGTGTCATTGGGCCTGAGTTCAAATCTGGCCTCAGACCAGACACTTGACCCTACTAGCTGTGTGATCCTGGGGAAGTCACTTAACCCCAATTGCCTCGCAAAAAAAAAAAAATAATAATCAATATTAGATGAACTCTGATGTCCTTTCACACTCTAAATCTATGACCCTATGATGACACAAGTATAGACTACATAGAGAAAATGTGTACCTTTAGAATTTCTTACCTTTCTTCCAGCTCATTATTTGAGTAGCATCACAGATCATTTCTGAAACTTTTTTTTTTTTCTTTTCTCTTGGTTATTGAAATAGCAGTCTTCTTGACTGATTTATCTTTTTTGAACTTAACATGAAAGCCTCATTAAAAACTAAACCAAATCAAAACAAAAGATGAAATGGTTCTCAAATTTTGCCTGAGGAAGAGAATTTATTTTCTTTTATTTAGTCCTTGAAAATGTGGGATAAAATTAGAGATACTCCTTTTCATTTTTCCTTATCTATTCCTTGAGGGAGGTGACTGAGGCAGTGAGTGGTAAGTAAGGATTTTTCTCCTTAGAAAAGTGAGATGTAGAGAGAATTCCCATACTAGCCCTAACTTTGGGCAAGAATTAAATACTTTGGAACTTCAAAAGAACTGTTATATCATCCATGTGGATTTTCACTCTACCTTAGTATGGAAAGAATCTAACCTTATTCACCTTGTTAGTCAGTCTTTAGACAAATTTCTGATGATGAGCCTCTTAAGACCTAACTAAACTGGTCCTCTAGACAGTCCTATCTTATTCCCCTGCCCATTCTATCCTCCAACCCCACTCCCACCCCAGCCTATATTTGGAGCCTTTACAGCTTGGTAGGGTTTGCCTCTGCTTTTTTTTTTCCAATTTTTTTAAATAATATTTTGTTTTTAGGAGCATCTAAGTGGCGCAGTGGATAGAGCACTGGCCCTGAAGTCAGGAGTACCTGAGTTCAAATCCGGCCTTAGACCAAACACTTGACACTTACTAGCTGTGTGACCCTGAGCAAGTCGCTTAACCCCAGTTGCCTTAAAAAATAATAATAATATTTTGTTTTCCCCTTCAATTACATGTTAAGACAATTTTTAACATTTTTTAACTTTTGCATTCCAAATTCTGTTCCTTCCACTCTTCCTCCTCACCCTCCATCCTTAGATGATAAACAGTCCAATATGAATTATACATGAGAATGTATAGTCACCTTGAAGATATGATCACCACTTGAAGAGGCATCAGAGTAGGAATTCAGTAAATAGATGGAGGTAGTTGTCAGTAGCTTGTCAAATAGTTATCAAAGTGACTAGAAAATTTCTTCATTACCTCATATTAAATTCATATATCTTTGTCCCAGGCAGGTCACCTGAATTTAATAATTATGAATTCTGAAGATAACATCTATATACATAGCTGCTATTTAGTATTTGGTGCTTGTAGAAATGTGGAAGGTGATACCTACAGAGACAGAAATCACTTTCATTTTCATCTCTTTACGGGTTTTTTTTTTTAATCTGACAAACAGATTTGCCTATAGATACAGAAATTCCAGTCTTTTTATAGAGGGGATAATTTCTTCCAAAAAACTTAAAAGAAGGTTGTTTTTTTCTTCCCTGTAGTTAAAGGTAGACATAGTACAAAATTCACTTAAAAATAAATCACTTAGGTGTCTATATGAAATATACATGTTGTGTGTATTTGGTAATCACCAAGAGGTGGTTCCATTTATACTTGTATTTGTGAAACTATAACTGAACTTCAAAAATCTTTGAATAACAATATTCTAGTCATTTGTAAAATGTGTGAATAGAACTTTTCCTTCTGCAAAACGAGACTCAACACTTCCCACATCACAGAACAATGAGTTAGAATTTTCCTCCATTGAAAATGAGGAACAGAGGCCTCTCAGAACAGCTTTTTAGAGAGGAATTAAAAAACCCTGGCAATATTTCTAATCTAAATATTAGCATCTTTTTTCTTTATTTAAGAAAGAATGACACTTAGTAAATGGTAGCTTCTGCCTCTCAGGATTTTGGCAATATATCAAGCCTATTCATGTTATACCCATTAACTTCTCTCTCACCATTTCCTTTTCTTTTTCTCTGTTCATTTTCCTCCTCTTTTCCATCACACACACACACACACACACACACACACACACACACCCCGATATACTTATATATGTATTTATAAATATATATTTCTTCTCTAGTTTTAATTAAAAAGGTAAATGAAATAGTTTAGATTATTATGAAAAAAAGGACTTTTTTAAGTGGCAGGCACTTCAATGAGAGGTGTCTTTATTTCTCTCCTTCCTCCATTGGCACACATTGAATTATCCTCTTCCTACTCTTTCCCTTTCCCCTTCCCCCTTCCCCTTTCTTTTTGTCTTCTTATTGCAATAGCCCCTCACAGGTCCCAATGCTGAAGCTTTTACTTGCTCCATTTTTCCTATCTGGTCTCTTTGACCCCTCGTTAGACAGCTTTGTGGACTTCCACTCTGGGGGTTCACCATATTAGTACTTATTTGGCTTTAGCCCAACTGCAGGTCAGAACCAGGAAAGTCGAGGGATCTATCAGCCTGAGCCTCTCCCCTTACCTATCTTTAAAACAAACAAACAAACAAACAAATGCTATTTTCTCCAAGAAGCCTTTTTAGATTCCTCCAAATTGGTCGTGATGACCTTCTTCACACATAACACTTTGGTCATCCTTTTAATTTCAGTTCTCTGTTATGTTGTGTTATGTGTGTTCTCTTAGGAAGAGTGATGAATTTGGGGTTAGAGGATCTGGTTTCCCATCTTGGCTTTGTCACTTAATACCCACATGACCTTGGGCAAGTCGGTTTGCCTCTCTGTGCCACAGTCTTCTCATTTGTCAAGTGAAGGGGCTGGACTAGATGTTTAAGGTTCCTTCCAGCTCTGCATCCATGATCTTGTATCGCTCTCCTCGACTGTAATCTTCGTGAGCACGGAGGCCACCATCTTTAGTGTCTGCTTATGTTGTCTGATGCCTGTCCTGCCCCAGGAGAGTGAAGCGGGCATATCCTCTTGCTACTCGTGTCCTTCTTTAATCCCTTCTTGAGGTGCAATCACTTAACAACCCTCCCCTGTATCACCCTACCCAGGTTCTTGTTGTAGTTACTTCTGAGCTATCAGGTCTGTTAATGGAGTTCAACATTGGCTTAATCTTCCCTTCCTCCTTAGCCCTTTCAACATGTGGGAAATTCAGTATACATGTTCAGGCTTTTTTAAACACCATTGCCTCCTAGTTTACCAACTTCCTCAACTCTGATGCTCTCCATCTCATCCACATTAGTTACATGCAGAGGTGGTCAGAAAACTCAAGAAACTTCAATGTTTCCCTACTGCCACTACAAAAAATATGCATTTCTTAGCTTGGCATTTAAATCTACCCTTGCAGATTGATTCCACATTGTTCTCCCTCATGCATTATGTCCATCCGAACTTGCTCCTTGCCGTTCCCTGAACTGAGCACTGTCTCTTCTACATCTTTGCCTTTTCTTCATTCTGTCTGCCAGGGACTTTTCCCTCTACTCAGCCTCTTAGGACCTTGACCTTCCATCAAGGTTTAACTCAGATGTGACATCCTAGAGGAAATCTTTCCTAATTGTCCTAGTTGCTAGCACTCTTTCCTTATATATTTACTTGTTTAGATAAGTATTGTATTCTGCATCCTTCTCTAGGTAACCTCCTTGAAGGCTGGGACTGTTCTCCTTTTTGTCTGTGTTTACCTCGTGCATAGTACCTAATAGGCATTTAAGAAATATTTGTTGAATTGACTTGGATTGTATTTAAATTAAACTATGTCTACCCCACTAGCCAGCTAAGTGTTCTCTATATTATATGGATTAAAATATTTTTTGTCAGATAAATGCACTTGATTTCTTTGTGTGATCCTGATGTATATATTTTCTTTGAACTGCTGGCTTAAGCTGTAAAGAAATCATAAAAATGTGATTTTTGTGTTATAACCATTATTTTCCTGCATAAGAACAACAGAATATTTTGGATAAAGTGACTCAAAATTAAGCATGATCTCTTTTAATTTTACCTACCTGTTGGCTTCCTGTAAACTTTGTTATGCCAGATTAATTGTTATGTTGATTTAAAGCTGGTATTTCTACTTTCCAGAACTAGAATCTACCTGTTGAAGTACAAATGAAAACAATGTATTTTTTTCAGTAGGACTTACAGAAATATATTAATATTCTCCTAACCATTTATATTTCACTCATGATAAGCTCCTTTGTTTTATAGCTGTACTTTTACATGATCGTGGCAAACAGTGGTAAGAAGGAATTAGAATTAGCAGCAGCTCAAGTTTCTGAGTATGCATTTTAGCTGGGCAATGGTAGTGAGCAGGCCTATGCTCCATACTACTGGGGAGGAGGAGACTGGTATGTCATTGGGCTTGGGAGTTCCCATCTGCAGTGTGCTAAACCTATTGGTACTAATATGGTGAGACTGTAAGAGTGGGCAGGGAGTGGGGGTTCACCAGGCTGCCTAAGGAGTAGTGGACTAGCCCAGGTTAGGAATAAAGCATGTCAAAGTTCCTATGCCAGCAGTGGGATATGGCCAGCAGGTGGCCCTTTACCTCTAGCCTGGGTGAGATAGGGATTCTTAGTATCAAAACAAACAAACATATATTATACCTGAACATCAGATGCCTAGCTGAAAGTCTGAGCAAGGCAAACCAGTTGGTAAATTCATAAACTGTTTGTTGTTTAAATTTTTGTTTGCCATACTAATTATGATTAGTAAGAAAATAAACTGGATTTCCTAGGTATGTATGTGAATTTCATATTAATGCACAGATAATATCTCTAATCAAAGACAGAATATCTTACTTAACTAGTTTGCTTTAGGGATAGAAATGCCAAGAATTGTATTTGAATTGGACCTTGAAGAATGGATAGGAATAAACAGGTAATTATCTTGGATCATGAAGAGTACCTATGGGTGATACATACTTTCATTTATACAAATAAATGTATGGAACTTGTTTGACACTTATGGATAGGTTTTTAGTGACCCTCTGTGATCTAAATATACTTAGATTTCTGGATCACCTTTAAACTCATAATATTAATAGATTTGTTTTGAGAAAGTTTATATGAAGTTTAAAGATTAAAAAAACCTTTTTGATGCAGTGTAAATTGTGTACTTTAGAAACATCAAAACAGGTATGTAACATTCTTTCTCTTAAAATTAACTTTAGATTCAGATGTATCAGCTCTCAAGGCTCCTTCATGACTATCATCGAGATCTCTACAATCACCTTGAAGAGAATGAAATCAGCCCCAGTCTTTATGCTGCCCCCTGGTTCCTCACATTGTTTGCCTCCCAATTTCCACTAGGATTTGTAGCCAGAGTTTTTGGTAAGATATGATCTATAGTCAATTCAACATTTTTATTTATTACAGAGACAAAACACTACCTAACCATATGGTGCCCCATTTTTTACATTTTGTGTTAACAATGGCAAATTATTATTGAAATTTGATCCTTGTATCTGGCTCTATTGATAATAATTTGAAACCATTTGAGTCTTAAATAGAGTTGAAATGAGAAACCCCAAGAGTTAAGCTATTGCCTTTGGACAGGCAGCAATAGAGCTATTATTTTCATGTGTTTTTGAAAGATAAATCAATGTCTTATTTTTCCTGAATCTGAGCCAAGCACTCATACAGTACTGATTTCTGCATGAGTCTTTAGACCTGACTTTGCTCTGTTTTTTCTTTACCCAGTAGATATCTTTCTTTCCATCTAAGAAACAGTTTCCTCGTGAGATTATTTAAGTACCCTCGTATATGTTCTTTTAATTATCTCTTGTTATTGTTGTTGGAGTAATGATTTTAATTCCTCTTTTTGTTGCTTATCCTGGCTTCTCTTTTAGTGGTATTAACCAATGGTTCCCCGTCCCCATCCCCCATCTTGGCCAAGGGACAGGTTGAAAGAGTGCTCAGCTGTCTGAGTCATAGATATATGACTGAACAGCGTTACACAACTTGAGCTGGGCTGCCTGTGTTCCTGAAGGGTGGGCAGTCACCTATTTTCCAAGTGTCATTTTAAAGAGATTCAGCTATTTGTTTGTGGCGGTTTAAAGCAACTCAGAGCACTTCCTAGAGAGTCACAGCTTATTTTCCACATTACAGCTCAATATTATTTGGTCAGCACTAGCATTTTGGATTGTGGCAGTTGTCAAGCACTATCTGTTCTCTGGATCATTTGTCAGCCATCTTGTTAAAAATTGAAAGCTTACCAGTCTGCCCTTTCCAAGATTCACCTTTTCAGCCAAGGAGTCTATAATCAGATGCAAAGAGAATCAAAAGTGGCCTGGAGAATCAGAGCATCAAGTGTTTACTAGGTGCCTGCCTGTGGTGTATAGGGTGCTGTACTCTGCAGTACAGATGCCAGGACAAAAACCTGAGAGGCCTTTGGCCTTGGAGGCTGCCCAAGGGAGGAGGGGATTGAGGAACTTTGTTTGCCTTTGAATGAGGAACCTTTGACAGGACTGTCATGGTCTAGGGAGAGAAGGAAATTTTTAGGGGAAATCCAGATGTTGATTGCCAGGGCCTAACTATGTCAGGCCAGTGCCGAAGTTCTTCATTCACCACCTCAAGAAGCATGGCTTATGGCTTCCTCTGATTCTTTTCTGTGCTTGTCAGTGAATACATTTATTTTACCTCCTCTTTGATACAGTCATCTCATTAACCACTTAGGAGTAGCACTTGGTCTACTGAGGATCTGCACAAATTAGATACTACACATATTAAATGTATGTGTGTATATGTGGTTAAGCCCTTCTTCTTTCTGTGGATCTTCTGTTTGATCATGTATCAGTACTTACATATCTCTGGAATTCTGCTTGGGATTGTACATCAATTAAACATGGCTGGAAGGAGCCTCAGAGGTCACATATCTGGTCCAGGCCCCTTAATTTACAGATGAGAAAACTGAGGCTGACAGGTTAGGTGACTTGCCTGAGGCTGCCCAGGATAGAAGGAGTCAGAGTTGGGTCATCTGACTCCAGAGCAGTACTAGGGTAAATAGCTAAGTGCTATTTACACTAGCCTATGCTGTATCCCTTGTTCTTATAATGGAAAAAACCTAAAACGAACCCAGAAACAAGCAAACAAATCTTTTTAGGCTTTTCTTTTCCACTCTAATCTTAGATTCCTTTGGAGTTAAGGGATTGAATGGAATTTTGCAAAACAATATGAACTTCAGTTCCATAGAAGGCCTTGCTTTATTTACAGCACTGCCCACCTTCTACCATCCTCTTTGGATTGCGAAAGGATCAGCCTAATTCTTTTCAAGGGATAGGATCATATAATCATAAGTAGATCTCGCAATGACCTTTGCAGTCGTTAAGTATAAGTCTCATTTTACCACTGAGAACACTGAAGCCAAGGAAGATCAAAATGGCTTGCTGAAAGTCACAAAAGTGTCCACTGTCAAGGGTCAGGATTCAAAACCAGGTTCTTTTCTGTTTTGGGAGAACTGGAGGTAGGTAAGCACAGTCTCTTTATAGTACTTAATTACTTTAGATTCTTTGTCTAAAAAGTAATACACAGATGGAATTTTGTATACAGTTTTATACTCAAAGACTTATTATAACTGCAGATCCTAAGAAAATAGTGAACGAAGAGGAATATAGTACACATATTTACTCACATTCCATGACTCTTAATATAAGCCTTCAATTTCCCTTCTAAGGATGATTAATGTGGTTTACCCTATCAGTTTTCCCCAAAATGTTCACTTATTGTCACTGTACCCAGTGACTTCTGGCTGCTTTGTTTTATTCTATTTAGGTTAAAAAATCTTATAATTTAGACTCTGAGGAGATTGTTATGAAGATCAAGTGATGTAATATATGTAAGAAACATTATGAACTTTAAAGCAAATGCTTTCCATCCCTTTCTTTTCTTTTCTTTTTTTCCCTTCCCTTTCTTTTCCTGTTGAATTCCTAACCATCTTTTGAGGCCCGACTAAAATGCTATTTTCTCATAATTCACAGGGATACAACACTCATAGCCATACTTCACCAATCTCTTTGTATAACAGATTTGCCAAGCTTAATTCCACATAAAAACTATATGTAGTAAGTAGTACACCTATTATTATTTCCATTGTACAGGTGAGGAAACTGAGCCTCAAAGTAATCCAGTGACTTATCCATGGTCTCACAGTTAGTAAGTGTTGGAACTGGGACTCAGATCTGTCTTCTGATTCGAAGTTTAGTGCTATTTCTGCTCTTTTGTGCTTGTTTCCATGAGGCATTGCCTTATCCTCCCTGTTGGTAATAACCTCTTCTCTCAGGACTTATATAGCCCTTTGTTTAGCCCCTTTCTAATGCATGTATCTTATATTATTATAAATTATAGTTCTCTGTGTATGCAGCTTTTCCTTCTATTAGATTGTAAGCTCTATGAAGTCAGGGACCATGTCTTGCTTAAATTCTGCATATCTCCTCAGGCCTTTACACACTGGAGGTGCTTGATAGATTTTTGCTGAATTTAAAGTATAGTCATTATTATTATTTCTCAGTAGCTTTCTGGTTTCAGAGAAGGCTCATCTTTTTCTTATGTTGGTAATTCGGAAAGACAGTATTTGTATCTATGTTTTTTCAAAGGCTATCTGGAAGTTCTTATCAGAAGAAAGTAAAATTCATAGATTACACCCATCTAAAGGATGACATCAAGCCTGAGAATCACTGAATCAGGCTTTCCTGGAAGACCTTTTATTTTTTTTCTTTGACATAGCTGCTTTTCTCTAAAGAAATTTCCTCTGGAGTTTCAGTTTCCTTTAATATGTCTTTCTGTGAATTCCTTCATTTTTCACTTCTCCTTTCCTTAGAGAAAATCTAGTCTGTCTTTTTCCAGAAAGAGTTCACTTAGATCAATGTGATGTTTCATTGGGTAAATGTCTTATGACTCACCTCAAAAGGCTGGTATTGTAGTTCCGCAAAGAACACTTTCCATCACTTCTATTTTTGAAAGTCTGGAAGATGCTCTTTTAGGCATGCCATAAATGTCACTGTGAACTTTGTTAGTTGCTGTTTCCTTTTTTGAATTCTAATAAGCTACAGTAGCTCAGGATGGGAAAAACATGTTTAATGATGAGGATTTAACCTAGCTGTCACCTATTATGTCATTGTCTACTCTTATCTGTTTTGCCATGGACCATTGAAATATCTAGAGACAGTGTCACATAGTAGAATCATCACATAGAGAACTATCCTTAGAGTCAGGAAGACCTGGGTTTGAGTCCTGCCTGGGACACTTTCTAACTCTGTGGGCCTGGGGCATGTAACATTAAGTTATGGTCTTCTTGTTGATTCCAGTGTAATTTATCTGTAATACTGAAAGAGGTTTAGACCCCAGGGAGTTTCCTACATAGGTAAAATCCTAAGTCTGGAATCCTTTCTCTCTTCTTCCTTCTCTCCCCTTCCTTCTCTCCCCTTCCCTTCCATAGCTATTTAGAACAGGGGTTAGACAGACTTTCACCATCTGTTTTTGTAAGGCCAATGAGCCAAGAATAATTTTTACATTTCTAAATACAATAAAACTTTAAAGTGTAAAAACTGTTTCTAGCTATCTGACAAAAACAGGCTATAGGCTAGGTAGTAGTAGTTTGTGAATCCCTGATCTAGATGGAGAGATTTGGAAACAGAGGTAATTATTTTTCAGTAGTCATTTTCCATTAAAGTCTTATTCTCATTATGTAATGGAAAGTATTCTGACAGCTTTGTCAACCGAGCCTCAATTTTAACGGGTTGGTCCTTACAAACTGGAAAGATTTGAAGTACTGGTTGAGCAGTAGAGACTTTTGTGCCGATTGTCAGAGGAATAGCCTAGCCAAATTCTGAGAGCATGATTGCCAGAAGGTAACAATTTGAAATTTCTTTTGGCTCAAGCAGCTGATGAGGGCAGAAGCCTGCTAAGGCCTGGAGGGGTTATGAGCTTTATCAGTGGTGAGAGCCCTCCCATGGATGAAGTATCATGGGTTCTCAAATGCTGATAGAAGTTAATCCTATCAGCCCAAGTGCTGATCTTTGGTAAAGTGGAAAGAATCCTGCATTTGGAGCTAGAAGACCTCAGGTTCCAGTCTCAGTTATGCCATCTCAATTTTTTTCTATTGTAAAATGTACATGTTACTTTTGCTGCTTACTTTACAGGATTTTTGTGAAGAACTGTGTTAGTTAGAATCCTGACTCTTTGATTAACTAGTTGTATGACCTTTTGCAAATCACTTACTTTCACTGACTCAGTATTCTCATTTGTAAATCAGAGATAATAATACTTGTATTGCTTGTGGCATTGGGGCATTGTAGAGAAAGCATTTTGTAAATTTTAAAACACTAAATGGATTTGAGTTGTTGTGTTGAAGAGTACCATATTAAATGATAGACTAGCTGTTTTATTCCCATCATGTTTCCTGTGTTATATTAGGTGATATTTACTTTACTTTATCCTCCTATTTAACATATCTTTATCTTGATTAATAGGAGGGAAAAGTTCCTTTTTTTATTTCCCACTGTCATGTTGGCATAGTAAATTATTGTTTGATTCATTTATTTATTTATTTTTTCATAATGGTGATAATGGTTTAGTTGTAATTGGTCATTACTTTTTACATTTCCTGCTGTGAAGAAAAATACCTTCAGATGTTAAGTCCTTTTCCTTCTTTCCAGTGTGTTGCATTGACTTTGGGGGTTTATGTTTTTAAAATCTGTAATGAATTTGTAAGTAAATGTGTAGACACAGATATAGGTATATATAAATGTGTATATAATTTGAATTTTCATTGTGGCTTTATCAGCAGTTTTTACTGGGCCAGATTAAAATGAAAATATTTGGTTTCTACAGTTAAATAAAAAATTCAGAAGCATTTAAATCTAAGTCATTTTGAAAAATCTTTTCTTAGTTCCTATAAATTAACAGTTCAATTTCTTTAAAAAAAATAAACATCTGAAGTGTTCCTTCGTCTATCTGCTGTGATAACATCAAATAGTATTTTACCAGAGAGTATTAGTCTTATCATCATTAAAGGTCTAATTAAAATGATTTTCTTTTTTTTTTTTTTTAGATATTATTTTTCTTCAGGGAACTGATGTTATATTTAAGGTGGCACTCAGTCTGCTAAACAGCCAAGAAACACTTATAATGGAATGTGAAAATTTTGAAAACATAGTGGAATTTCTTAAAAGCACAATACCAGATATGAATACATCTGAAATGGAGAAAATAATTACCCAGGTAAGATGTAATTTTAAAAAAACTGACATCAGGATTTTTTTTTTAAACTAGACCTGTGATTTCGTTGATGTTGGGAACTCCCAGTGAGGAAGCTAGCTAGCCCTACTTAATGCATCTGTGCAGATCAGCACTCTTTTATAACTTAGGGCCTTAAAGCAGTTGACTGGGGTATGGGTAGATTAAGTGACTTCTCCAGGGTCATGCAGTCAGTGTGTGTCAGAGATGGCACTTAAGGGTCTCCCTGACTTTAGAAAAAAACAAGTTGGTAATTTGTATAAAGGTTTCTCTGCTGATGATCTGTAAGAGTGTGGAACCTAGATATTTAATTATTTAAACAGACTTCTTATAATAATTATATAATAAGTCTTAGCTTTGTTCTGAAGTCAGTAATTCTAGTGGGCATATACTCCTGTGTTCACCCATTCAAGGCACAAGAGAACTTGTAAGTTGAATTTCTGCTTTTCTTGCTGACTCTTGGAAGAAGCCCTTTCTCCACCTCCCCAGGGGCCGACACCCAAATTTCTTTCCCTCAAGTTCTCTTAATTGTCACTTTGGTTACAAGGATTTATCAAGTGTTGTAGAAAAGTCAAGTCCAGTGGAAGTCCCCAATCCATATTACAAAAAAATTATAGTTTTAGAGGTGGGAATCATTCTCAAAGTTATCAAAGTGCTTTTTCTACTATATTGAGGACTCTAGGAAATGACTTTGACTCTCATGGATTCAAAAGTCCCAAATATAACACTAGTAAATGTCCTGGATGAAGGATGCATGGCCACGTCCTGGAGGGAAAATACAAATGGATCGTACATGGATATACTGAGGGTGAATATATCATGATACAGAATTTTATGTACTCCCATTTGTATTAAAAGGCCATGACAATTTAATTTGTGGGGCCTGCAGAATTTTGATGTGGTTAAAAAATAAGGATAATTTTTCTGCATATGTTTAATTTGCATAATGTGTACTTCATGAGACTGAACCACAGAGCCCAGTTAAGATGGTTAAGAGATCATGAGTGTGGTCCTTTTGGGAAGGACACCTTAAAGTTTACCCAATTAGGGATATAAGGATAGCTAGACAGAGGTAAGGTATAGGTCACCCTAACTGAATATCAAGTCAAGAATTTATAAACCCACTTGGGTCAGTAGCTACATTATTGAGCTCCTCTGCAGAGAAAAATCTTGATCTCCTGTGATTTGGTTCTGAGAACAAAGTGGTAATGAGTCTTGACAGTGACAGTGCTAGGAAGAACTGTTTGCCTCTGGAAGGTGAGGAGCCATGAGGCAGGTAGTCCCTGTCAACAGAGACCATGAGAAGAGGGCAACACTATGACCTTTCTGGCTATAAGAGAGCAGAGTCCTAGAGAAGAAGTGAACCATGGGCTGAGGTGCTTAACAGTTGGGAGGAAGACGATTCCTACTTTTCCATTATTTCCCTTGAGATTTTAGATATTTTATTCTTCCAAATGAATTTTGTTTTTCTTTTGTTTAACTTTATAAAATGCCCTTTTGGTAATTTGAGTGGTATAGCACTAAATTTAAATTATTTTAGGTAGTAATGCCATTTTTATTATGTTGGCATGGTTCAGCCATGAGCAATCAATATTCCTCCAATTATTTGTATTCTTTATTTCTTTAATTGTAATTGAAAAGAAATAGTTGCACATTATATTTTAATTGCAATTTGTAATTGTATTTCTAGAAGTCTTGACTATACCTTTGTAGATTGACTCCCAGATATTTTATGCATTTTGCCATTACATGATCTCTAAATCCTGTGCACTGTGTGAAGTTCATAGTATGTAGCCAGTGTTAACTCACAGTACTTTTATTACAGGTTTTTGAGATGGATATTTCTAAGCAGCTTCATGCATATGAGGTTGAGTACCACGTGCTACAAGATGAACTGCAGGAGTCCTCCCCCCGTTCCTGTGAGGAGAGTGAGCCTCTGGAAAAGCTAGAGAAGGCTAATAACCAGCTGAAGAGACAGAACATGGATTTATTGGAAAAATTACAGGTAAATAGATAAAGATTAATTTAATAATCATTTATTTAGAGCCTACTTCAGAAGTGGGGAACCTGTGCCCTTCTAGGTCCTTGGGCATGGCCTTCTGACTGAGTCCAAATTTTATAGATCAAAATCCTTTTATTAAGGGGATTTGTTCTGTGAAGTTTGGATTCAGTCATAGAGGTGAACTTGAGGACCTAGAGGGCCACATGTGGCCTTGAGGCCACAGGTGCCCCACCCCTGGCCTACTCTATGCATAGCTCTCTGAGCACTTTGGAGAGATACGAATGAACTCACTTCAGCAAATGCTTATTAAGTACCTACTATACATGTGCACAAGATTTAACTAAATTCTGTGGAGAATACAGAGAAGCTAAGGTGGTGTGATATGTTTTCTTTGGGAGCTTCATCTCTCATTGGTGAAAAAGGTATATCCAGGCAGACCAGTTAAACAAGAATACAAGGCAACATATGAGTAAGAGCTTGAATGAGGGATATTGACAGTAAGTGCTATAATAGTTCAGAAGTGGTAGAAGTTAATGTTGAACAGAACATTTGGAGAGGAAATAGGCATTAAGCATGACTAAGAAAAATAAGTAGGATATGGCTAGAGGGAAAAATGAGGGGCAGGTATATTTAATAAGTTTTTTAAAGTCATGATTAGTCGCTGCATTGATCAGAGTTCTGAAGTCTTTCAATATTGTTTTCTTGTGAATTATTCCTGTAGATACTCTGTCTTTGTCTACTGGTTTCTTCCCTGTTGCCTGCAAACACTCCTGTCTCCCCAACTTCCAGAAACCTTCACTTGATCCATCCCTGTCTCCTAGCTATTGTCCTATATTTCTTCTCCCTCTTCTGTCTAAACTCTTTGAAAAGGCTCTCTACAATTGATGCCTTTGCTCCCTTTCCTCTTACTCCCTTCTTAACTCTCTTCAGTCTGGCCCATGACCTCATCACTTAACTGAAACTGGTCTCTTCAAAGTTGCTAACGTTATGTTGATCACCAAATCTAATGGTTTCTTCTCAATCCTGATCCTTCTTGACCTCTGTGCGGTTATTGGTACTGTGGATCACCCTCTATCCTTGATAATCTCTTTTCTTTAGGTTTTTGAGACAGTATTCTCTACTGATTCTCCTCCTACCTGCCTTTTCAATCTCCTTTGCTGGATCTTTGTCCAGGTCATGTCTGTTAACTATAAATGCCCTCCAGAGCTCTGTTCTGAGCTATCTTCTCCAGATATGCTGTGATCTCATCAGCTTCTATGGATTCCTGTTATCATCCCAATGCAGTTGATTCTCAGATTTGTCCAGCTCTAACCACTTTGCTGACCTATGCACCCTTATCTCTAGCTGCCTGTTAGACACCTCAAACTAGATGTTCTACAGACTTCTTCAACTCAATATGTCTAAAACTAAACTCACTTTTCCCCTCAGAAATCCCTTCTTCCTAACTTCCCTTTAACTGTCCAGGGTACCACCATATTCACAGTCACCTAGGCTTGCCAACTAGGTGTCATCCTCATCTCCTCACTAACTCCCCATATTCAATCAGTTGTCAAGTCTATCATTTCTACCTTCTCGGCATCTCTTGTTTATGTCCCCTTCTTTGCTGTGACACTGTGTGACGCTGGTGCATATCCTCATCATCTTACACCTAGATTATTTCATGAGTAGTGTACTGATTAGTCTCTCTGCCTCTTCTCTCTCCTCACAATGGTTCCTCTTTTACTCAGTTGTCAAATTGATCTTCCTAAAGCACACGTCTGATCATATCATCCCCTATGCAGTAAATTCCAGTGGTTTCCTATTTCCTCTAAGATCTAATATAAAATCCTTTGTCTTTCAAAGCCCCCTATAATCTGGCCCCTTTGTACCTTTCCAGGCTTCTTCATCTTGGATGACTCCCCCCTCCCATGTACTTTGCAATACAGTGACACTTGTCTGCTTGTTGTTTCTTGAACAAGATAGTCCATCTCCCAACTCTGGGCATTTTCACTGACTGTCTCTCATGCTTGGAATGCTCTCTTTCTCTTTGTTTCTGCCTCCTGGCTTCCTCAAATTTCAGTTAAAGTCTCATCTTCTGCAAGAAGCCTTTTCCAATCCTTGCCATTAGTGTTAGTGCCTTTTCTCTGTTAATCATCTCTAATTTATCCTCTATATTGTGTTTGCACTTAATTTTTTGAGTCTTGTTTCCTCCATTAGACTGTAAGCTTCTTGAGAGCAGGGACTATATTATGCCTTTCTTTGTATGTGCAGTGCCTGGCACATTGTATGCACTTGATAAATGCTAACTGAGAGTGAGGAGTTGAGGGTGACGCCTAGGTTGCAAGCTTGGTTGACTGAAACAAGCTTGGTACCTTCAACAACAATAAACAAGTTTAGAAGAAGGGATGGTTTATTAAGAGAAAGATCATGAGATCAGTTTTGGACATGTTGAGTTTAAGGCGTCTATGGAACATCCTGTTTTTAGATGTCTAATAGGCAATTGGAGAGTGAATCTGGACATTAGAAGAGAGATTTGGGTTGGATAATTAGATCTGAGAATCAACAGCATAGAGATGATAAACGAATCCATGATAGCAGATGTGATCACCGAGTGCAATAGTATAGTGGGAGAAGGGTTCCGGACAGAGTCCTGGGGGACATCCACTGTTGATAGGCAGTAGATAGATACTCGATGATAGATAACCTCGATGATGTTCTCTTTGAAGGGAGGCTGAGAAGGAGTAGTCAGGCACGGAAGAGAAGAACTGAGAGAGCAGTATCATGGAAACCTACAGACAAGAGAGATTTTTCCCCATCTCTGACAACGAGTTGGCCATTGTGCTTGTCAAGGCTAAACCCTCTGTATATGCGCTTGGATCTTATTACCTCCTATCTTTTCCAGCATATTGCATTCTCATTCGTCATCATCTACCGGTATTATTTGTAACAGAGTTAGACTAGAATCTTTCCCAATAAAATCAGGAGTGAAACAAACATATCCATTGTCACCATTTCTTTTGTCATAGAACTCAAAATGCTTGCTAAATGAATAGGTAAGAAAAAGAAATTAAGGGACTAAGCATAGATAAAGAAGAAACAAAATTACCACTTTTGTAGATGTTAGATGGCATGCTGAAATAACCCTTAAGAGTCAACTAAAATTAATTGGAGCAATAACTTTAACAAATTTATAAGATATAAAATAAATCCACAAAAATTAACAACACACACATCTATGTCTCTGTCTTTATCTATCTGTCTGTAAAACCAGTGAAGCCCAGAAAGAAGAGATAAAAAGAAATTCCATTTAAAAACTCTATAGAATATATTAAATACTTGGGAATCTACCTTTCAAGATATACATAAGAATGATATAAATACAATTACAAACAACTATTTATAAAAATAAACCTAAATAATTGGGAAAATATTAATTTTTCATGGCTAGAACTAGCCAATATAATAAAAATGAAAGGTAATAAAAATTACCTAAATTAATTTACTTATTCAATGCCATACCAATCAAACTACCAAAGAATTTTGTTGTTGTTGTTGTTTAGACTTTTTCAGTCATGTCCAACTCTTTGTGACCCCATTTGGAGTTTTCTTGACAGATACTGGAGTGGTTTGCCATTTCCTTCTCCAGTTCCTTTTTATAGAAATGAGGAAACTGAGGCAAACAGGGTTAAGCGACTTGCCAAGAGTCACATAGCTAGCAAGTGCCTTGAGGCCAAATTGAACTGAGGACTGTGAGTCTTCTATGTTCAAGGCCAGGTGCTATATCCACTGTGCCACCTGGCTGCCCTGATAATTACTTTATAGAATTAGAAAAAAAAAATAATAACCAAAGTCACATGGTGGGGGAAAAAGATGATAAATATCGAGAAAAATAATGGAAAGAATGGGAATGAAGGGGACTTCACTGTGCTGAGTCTCAAACTATATCATAAAGTGGTTATTATTAATAAACACAGTTTGGTCTTGGTTAAGAAACAGAGATTGATCAGAGTTGGTATGCACGTGATTCCAGAAATAGAGGTCGGATATGGGGTGGGGTAGGCGTTAGAAAAGGTACATACAGTGTATACATACAGTGGCAAAGTAAAGGAATGAAATGAAAAAGCATTTATTATACAGTAAGCACCGGAGATACAAATAGAAAAATCAGGACAGTCTCTGCCCTCAAGGAGCTTTCTCATAGGGTAGACAACACATAGAGGAAGTTTCAACTGCAAGTCAGATGAGAAGGTACCATGATCCTTAGATGCAACAGCAAAATAGATGATAAAGTATTTTCTTTGGTGTTGTTTCCATTGATCCTATCATGTCACATCCTTTTATGAAGTTTAAACATTTGACATTACCAAGGACTTTGATGTCAAGAACTTTGGTTTTATTTTTTGCATGTGTGTGTGTGTGTGTGTGTGTGTGTGTATGTGTGTGTGTGTGTGTGTGTGTCTTCAGGAGCTGTGGTTGCTGTAGGGGCTGCAGTACTTCTGCAAAAGTAGTTCCAGGTTGAAATCCATGGGGATTGCTTCCCCCTATGTTGGCACGAGGTGTTGGACTGACTGGAAGCAGGACCACCAGTCAGGGGATTCTGTTGCTCCCAGGGCTCTTGGCTTTACCTGTCAATTGGTGACAGTCAACAGTTGATATATCAGTGGTGAAGAAAGTGACCTCTTTTCCACGGTGATTGTTCCCCTCAGCGATGGCTGATGGCCCTGGGATGGAAGCAAAACTAGTAGTCTGAGGGATACTGCTATTCCCAAGGCTCTTTGGTCAGGGCCCTGGGATAACTATATCAGGATCTGAGGGAAGGTGGTAGTGATTGTATTTTGACTTGCCTGGCACATGTTGTTTCCTGTCTCCATGTCAGGTTGCCTTGCTGCTTCATTTAGGCTGGCTTGCCTTTTCTGTAGGTAGCATTTGGTTTCCTGAGTGATGGCCAGGGAATATAGAGTGAAGTAAATGGAGCCTTCCTGAAATGGTTGGCCTTTGGGTAGTCACCAATGAGGACAGCAAGGTCCCTAGGGCAGTAGTTTGGAGATGAAAAGGTTAAAGCCTCTAGTGTAAGTCTGTGGTTTGGGCATCAAGGTGGTTGATGAGGCAGTGGAGAAGATGACTAGGAATAAAGCAGTTGTGGCAAGATTACCTCAATTTTCTCAGTAAAATAGAAGTGGAGATGAGGGTGTTTTCTGAGAGGTTAGAGGAAGAAAGTCATGTGGAAGGCTTGAGAGAGGAGAAAGCATCGAACAGTTTCTGTGGAGAGTATAATAGAAAATAAATCAGGAAAGAATAAAAAGATTGCCCTGAAATTGTGAGGACTCATTTGTAATTAGCATAAATTTACAGTGGACTCCCATCAACATAGTTCAGATAGAAAAAAGGAAGGCAGTCTTAAAATTAGGCTTGTGTACATACTTGACTATTTATAGATGAAAACAGGTATTAACCACAACAGTCTAAATTGTACTCATTTGTGTATAAAAAATCCCACAAGTTTCATTCATCACCAAAAACCTTCTGCGATAAGACAGAAGTGATTACTAGACAAGCATCAGTAAAGTATGCTGCCTTTTCTCGAATTGTTATCGTACAGTGCTGTAGATAATGTCTTGCAGTATCTTCAAGAACATACTAGTCCTATATCCAAGTACAATTAAAATGATAAAAGTGACCCCCTGAGAGTGGATCTGGGCATGATATGTTTCATGTTGGGTAGGCTTTTCCACACAAGGGTGCAATTATATCAAAAATGAAATTTAAAAGAAGCTTTAAACATCCTTTCTAGAATCCCAAAACGCATTCAACAGAAGGTATGCATGACAAATCAAATTGTTCAAATATCTTTTGCAAAATAAAATCCATCAGATATCCTGTAGGGTTGGGAATCACTAGACAACTGAGCCAGATGGTGAGTTTCCTGAGGAATGAGGAAGAATGAGTTGGCATCTAGTAGATGACTTTGACAAGGCTCTGGTCCAGGTAATAAAGATGAATGGAGAAAACCTCAAGAAAAGAGAAGTTGCTTGATGACAGGGGCAGAGTTCTTAAGCAATAATGAGGAAGGAACATGCCTGCTCTTTCTCTGGCTTTCAGAGCATGTGGGAGAAGGAGCAACCTGTACTTGAGAGGGTAGCTGTGTTTGCAGTGTTTTCTGGAGAAAATCAGGTAGGCCGGATTTGAACTCAGGTCCTCCTGACTTCAGGGCCAGTGCTCTATCCACTGTGCCACCTAGCTGTCCCCTGAATGTAAAATCTTTAAGAGGAAGAGGGAGGAGGTATGAAAATTAGTTACTATAGGGTAAGGAAAGGGGAAGGTAGAAGAGGATAGGGACTGATGAAGAGTATGGCTAAGGTGGGTGGATATAAGAGAGCAGAAAAAAAGAAGTTTTCTCAAAGGATTTGAGGAGGAAAAGGTTGGAATTGCTAGCCATAGGATGGGAGAAGTACAAGTTTAGACGTGTCCACATCCTTCTGGGTTCTGTGATATATAATATCACTCTATTTTCTTCCAAACACTATGAAAGAAGGAATTGAGCCTGCAGGGCAATTGAGTTGGACATTTGGGTTGGTCAACATCCGGTGATTGGACCGACAGCGTTAGACTGAACCTCATCTTTAGAGCCAACTTGGACTTTTTATACCAAATGATAGGAAATGAAGTACACCTAGAAGAGAGCTTAGATATGGAACGTGTGGGAGTGCTTCTGGCTCCTAGAGACTTAGACCTTTCATTGTTTCTGAGGTGTTAAGTCCTCTAGGGCCTCTTGAACTCTTCAATGTTCAGGACTTGGGTTCTAAAGCCCCTGATGTATAATATTTCATAGAGGCATTACACGTAATAATGAATTTAAGATTTGGTTCCTTAATGAAATTACCTTACTAAATGAATGGGTTGGACTAGATGATTTCTGAGTCTTTTTCCAAGTCTAACATTCTGTGATGCCAAGTGTCAGTATCATTTAGAATATAAATTTAAAATATATGTGTGTGTGTGTGTGTGTGTGTGTGTATGTATGTATATATATATATACATATATATACATGTATAGGTTTACATAATATATGTGTGTATTTATTTAAAATTTTTTAAACAGGTGGCTCATGCTAAAATCCAGAGTTTAGAATCCAACCTTGAAAATCTTTTGACTCAAGAGACCAAAATGAAGTCCTTAATCCGATCCCTGGAACAGGAGAAATTGACCTACCAAAAGACTGTGGAACAGATCAGGAAGCGCTTGCCGGCAGATGCCCTGGCTGACTGTGAGCTGCTGTTGAAGGAAGCGAATTGTAACCCACATAATACAGCAGGAATAGGAGAGAAGCCATAGTTTAAGAAGTGCCGCCTCAGCAGGCAGTGAGGTTTGACACGCTGAAGAAAAGGCAGCATGAGTGTGCTGCAGGACAGTCTCGGGAGACTCAGTGGAATGGAATCACCTGGAACTGGTTTGGAATCTCCAGTAGCATGAAGGGGGCCTTTAATCCCAGTCTGCAAATCCCAGACTACTAAAAGCACTCATGCTGGGTTTTTTGTGGCTGTTACTGATTGTGCACGTAGACGTGAAGGGAAATTTAAAGAAAAAATTCATACTTTCAGATAAGATAAGTAGATGTATATTTAGAGCAAATTAACTTCACCAAGGGGAAGAAGAAGCAAGGCTTCCCTGTACACATGTGAAACCTTTTTTGTCTTTGTAGTGAAATAAAGATGTATCTTTATATATTGAATAATACTTGAAGAAATGAATGTATTTTTTTCTCCAAAGAACAGCATGTTTCACTTTTTTTTGTTGAAAATCTGTGGTAAATGCATATGTGCCTGTCATAAATTCTACTGACTTGTTTATGGGAGGATTGTGACTGTGACTGATAGTCACTTTCATGTGACTTTTCAGGGAATGTGGTACATATCCATCCCTTCCTGTTATGTGCCATCTTTAGCATGTTGCTTCCACATGCATGTTGACAAGAAGTAGGCATCATTTTTTAGCAGCGTGGCTAAATAGAATGCAAAAATGTTTTGCCTGGATTGCCCAAGGTAAGGGGAGGAGTTTGTAATTATGTGGTTAACTGGACCAATGTTGACAGCCAAACTGGGTCAGTCAGGCCACAAAATAGCATCCATTTTGGAACCTTAACTGTCTAGCCTGTCTACATTTGTTACTCAAAGTAACCTAGTAATTGTGAACTTCCCCTTTACTTGGTGCTATGTAAACACAGCCAATGACAAGGATTTACTTTCTTCCTCTCCAAACACATTTCAGAATTTCAGTTTTTGTTCTAATTGCTTTGAAGAAAGCCTGAGAAGAAGGAGACTCAGATTTTCTCTGCCAGCAATACTTGGCTTTCTGCAAGTGCCGTGTTGTAATAATATGGCACTTCTCTTCGCAGTTGACAAAATTAAATAGATTATGATTTTCTTCCTTTTTCCATGTAAAATTTAGCAAAACTGTGAACTGAATTAGAACAGACTTCTTTTTAAAATCTCTTAGTGGGGAATGGAAAATGTAGCCTCATGCCCATCCTAGGACTAAATTGTAAATTCTGACTCCCAACATTTTATCCACACACATATAAACTACTTAGATCTTCAGCTGTACAGTATGTATGGGAGGAAATTAGTCTTCTATTACAAATCCTGCCTCTCCCCACACATACATTTTTCCACATAAAGAATGAATTCTTAAATAGTATCTACAAAAGGAGACTCAGTAAAGTAAATGATGAAGCAATTTTTTGCTTTTCAGTATTCCTGTTTTTTAAAGTACTTTTATATAATTACTGACTCATTGCCTCTCTTCAGTGAGTTTACCTTGCAATGGACAATAGAATACTAAGAGAGAAAAGTGCTGAAACCCAACCACCTCTGAACCTTGTTTGTGTATTATTGTCATGAATCTGATTACAGTAGTACCTGTGCTGTAATACTGATATTGTTTGTTTTTGTGTTTCTGAAGAAAAAGTCTTATTAATAAAGTTATGTAAATTAAAGTTCTCTTTCATTAGATGGAAAGTCTAGGTACCTCATGAAATCTGGGTAATCAACTGATTGGTTCCTATAGAATATTTTATTGGATCAGAATTCCTTCTCTGGCAGTTGAGAGGTTTTCTTCCTATCTTAAATTTAATAAATGTGTTGATAGACTACATATATTTCTGTTTTGCCGTGGTACCAGGATTTATCTAATGTGTAGACATGGAGCATCATATTTTGACTTGGCTGAGTTATAACTAGGTAAGCTAAGGAGAATGCTACTCTGTGGTTTTGTTTAAAATGAATTTTAGTCAATATGTCTATAAAAGAGACAGCCCTTGGGAACCTGCAGTTAGTAGAGTGTTCAGAGATTAAAGTGACTCAGATATTCTATGAAAATGAACATTTTTTTTTCTCTTTGTGATTTTTAGGTTGCACCAGTTGTGCTTTGCCCTTTGTTTTATCCCCATCAAGTTAAATGTAGTGTCTGATTGATTTCCAATAAATGCATTGCTGCAGTTTCTTTCCATGGCCTGTTGGATCTGTTTTTCATTTTGGGGCAGGGGAGTTCATGGTTAAAAACCTTTCAAAAGGTCTCCAAAGAAAGGAATTTGCTACTTAAAATCAACCTAGTTAATTCTTGGTTATCCATCATACTTCAGGTTGAAGTGTAACCATTAAAAAAGCAAAACCAAAAAGAAGGTTGTAAAAGGGAACCACTTGAATTGGTTTAGGCTTAACTTTTTCAGTTTTCCTAAACCTCTGTACTGAGATACAAAGGAGAATGAATTGATCAAACTTGCAGAGCAGCAGAAAAGGAGGGGGGGCTGGATGATTCTCAAATTAAATCAGCTTCTGTGTAATCAAGGCTTGAATGTCAAACCTGCTGTTAGCAATAATATGTGATGTGTTTTTGTAACATGTCTCTTTCAGAAAATTGTCAAACATATCCCTCATTTTAATAAAAATGTGCTATTCATTCTCTCTTAATTTCTGGGACTAAAAGCTTTAACTGTGTAATACCACATCCAGTAATAAAGCGTTGGGAGTGGGAATAAACTCATGGTTTGAGTCTGAATAACAGCCAGGGGTGTGCTGAACTGGGAAGAACATTGAACTTTGGAGATGCACGACCTGGCACTGCCCCTGGCTCCTACCTGTGCTTGTTCCAACCTGCTTTGTAACTGGCAGCCTTCCTTTCCTCTTTCTCCTAGGACCCTGTCTGAATCGTAGGCTCGCTAGTAGCTTCCGTGGACATTACTTAACTGTCCTGTGGGGAGGTAACTACTGATTCCTGCTCTACCGTAGAGAAAGCCCCAAGAAGAGGGAAAGAGCATTTTTGTTAGAGGCTGAACATTTCATTTGATACGTGTGTGTGTGTGTGTGTATACATACATATATATGTGTGTGTATATTTATATATATATATATATATATCCTTATGTATTAAATCATGTGCAAAAACTAAGGTGAGAGCCTTTAACGGATTTGAAATGTATTTTTCACCCTATGAAGACTGCTAAACCTGAAAATTTGCTTTTCTTTGTGGAAGCATAATAAAATTAGGATAAAATGTTCTTCTTCCTCTAAAAGCTGGTACTTTGTACTATCAGGCACCTGGGATATGTTGAAAAAAAAAGACACTGGATTTGGAATAAAATTATCTAGGTTCATGTATTAGCTATGATATATTCAAGCTGTGTGATCTCAGGAAAGTCTTAATAGTTCTTTGAGGTTCGTTTTCTCATCTGTAAAATAAGAATGATACCCTCATCTCTACTGCTCCTGCAGAGCGGTGAAGATCAAGTGAGATAACTTCTGTATTTTGCAAACTGAGAATCGATAAACAGCTATTCTCATATTTCTGTGTGGTAGGTAAACCAGATTGGGCCACAACCAGTTTATTTGGTGGTGATAACCATATTTCAAAACCAAACAAATCACATCATTATCTGGAGAAGGTGAGTACTGAAATGGATGGATCAGACAGGTTCTTCATCATCCTAGTTTTTACAATGTGGCCTTAAAAGAAAAAGATCTGAAGTTAATGCTTAAAATGCTTTTCTTAAAAACACAGGAAAAACCTAGCATAATAGAGAGAGAGTCAGAAAGACCTCTGACACATATTGGCTCTGTGCTAACCTCTCAGTGCTCTCGGCATCTCTACAAGTTGCAGAAAGGGTGCTAACCTGTATTGGTGGTGAGAATATCCTCGTCCAGAGAGTACCCTATACTGGCGAAGTCACAGGTCCAGGGCCTATCCTAAAAATGTATGCTATTTTTAGCAAACACACAAAAGTTATATTTCTGATCATGTTGCTCAGACATTGCTTGTTCTTATGTAAAGTTTATTTTATGTACTCCAATGTTGCTTTTCTTCTCAATTTAACAAGAATTGTGAATTCATTAATGTTATTGATGATGTTATTCAGAAATGATCATTTCAATTAAACATACAACTTCTATTCTGTTCATGGAGAAATCTCAGGTTTATGCAAAATGAAATGAGGTATTTATATTTTGTACACTTAGGTTTATTGAATTTCCTCAACATACTGTTGTACTGTTTCTCCTAGCATGTCTCTGTTCTTCATGCTACCTAATTGCTGCTGCTACTAAGGTGCTTAGAATATTCATGAGGTCCCATTAACTCTATTTATAATAAGCACCAACTTTTAATGTAATGTCACAGAGCAGTAAATGATGTCCTAATGGCCTGAAAGAATTAATATTCCCATTCTTCTTCCATTTCCTAAATGCCTTATTTATTTTTAGGAAATTATTTAAGGAGAAGTGATCTCACTTCAAATAACTTGCATATGGTTCTTTTAAAAAAGACAGTATAAGTATACACATTTTAAAAATACATTGATACAGTAGAATATCAGCTCCTTGAGGGCAGAGGCTATTTCATTTTTTTGTCTTTGTATCCTTAGCATGATCCCTGGTACACAGCAGGTTTAATAAATGCTTGTTTAATTGAAGGGCATTGAACTGGGAGTCAGTAAACTGATTCTAGTCTCACACCCGCCACTAAATACCTGTATGACTGGACACGTCACTTGTTCTCTCTGGCCTTTACTTTCATCATCCTATAAAATAATGAACCTAAGGTAAGTCATCCCTCAGGTCCCTTCCATCTCTTAGGACCATGTCTGTTTCATACATCCCTTACATTAAGAACTTGTTAAGGCAGAAACAAATATGAAAGAGTTGTTTGGGTGTGGGTGTGGGTGAAGGGACCCTGCAAGAAGCTCTCCCTACACAGTCGTGAAAGACTAGAGGATGGTTTGATAAATGTACATAATGGAAAGAAGTTTCAATAATGTCATTTTGAGTGGAATGAAAATTAAATTATTAAAATGTAAATTTTAACCTCTTTGTGCCTCAGTTTCCTTACCTAAAAAAGGAAGTTAGACTAGGTCATTTCTAAAGACCCTTCTAGCTCTAAGTCTGTGATATTCTTGCCCTATTTCAAGTAGGAGAGGCAGAGGAAGGCCTCTAGCACTTTAGGCAGGCCATCCATGGAAGACTTTGGGGAAGTTGTGGACCAGAATCCCACAGAATGGTGTGATCAGGATGGGTTGCAATCTGGACCAGTGGAAGGAATACTCACATTGATGAGGTGATGGATCCATCAGAGAATCTGAGTAAGGGGGAAGAAGAACTGAAGCCCTTCAAATGAGCAAATTTGTTAATAGAATTAAAATCCATACTTTCTGCCCTCCGCATTCATTTTGTCAATATCCTTGCTCATATTCTCATTGGTTCTCATCTGGATTATTGTCATAGACTTCCACTGTTCTTCTTGCTACCAGTCATTTTGTATTCTAATTCATGTTTCACCCATCTTCAAAAATATTCTTTCTAATGCATAATAAATAGCAACTCATTTTTAAAGTGCTTTGAGTTTTGGAAAGTGCTTTATTTGTACCATCTCCCTTTTTTATAATTGAGGCCCTGACTTGACTACAGTCACAGTAGAAAGTGTTTGAGGTAGGATTTGATTCAAAAGTCCTAACAATATTGCTCCCTTGTTCAAAAATATTCAATGGCTTTCTATTGCCAATGAAAAATTTGTTAGTTTGGAATTTAAGGCCTGGCACAATCTAGCTGTAGTCTATTTCTGGCCTTATTTCAAACTATTCACATTCATGAACTCAACATCTGTAAAAGAATGGGGTCAGACTAAATAATCTCCGAGTTCCTTTCTGGCTTTTAAATCTGTGATACATCCTGGCCAATCTGGACTACACTCCTTTGCCTCTGTCCTTGCATATTCTCACAGCCCCTGCCTTGAATTTATTCTGAAATCCCCTATTTCCTTCAAGGCCCACCTTAGATATTACTTTTTCTATTAAACCTTCCCTTATTTCCTAGCTGAAAGTGATCTCTCCCTATGTAAATTTTCATACAGCACTTTCCTTTGATTTCCTTTTATGTTTATCACAGCTTTTTGAGGGTAGGGACTGTGTTGATTTTTATCTTATATACATACCCACCACCTTGCACAGCGCCTTTATCAAAGTAGGTGCTTTATAGATGTTTAAATTCAGTTGAATCACTGACAATAACAAGTTTGACGTTGGACATTTTCTTTGACATTATAGTAAAATTACTGGTTTGTAGATTATAGGATCCTGTAATCAGTAACTAGAAGGGATCTTAGTAATCATACGGTCTAACCCCTTCATTTTATAGATGGAGTGGAATCTGAGAAGGGTACTGTCTTGACTATCTCTGATCACATTTGGTAACAAACAGAAGAGCCAGCATTCGAACTCAGCTCTAGGATCCTTTCCATTACAACACACTGCTCCAGTAAGAGATGTGATAGCTGTGATTTGTAAGTTACAACACAGGCCTGTTTGCCTTGTGGTAGTCAAAACATCATGAACAAGTAATTTTGATTGAGTAGTTGCTGCGTTGTGTTAAGCAGTTCAAGCTTGTTTGTGTACAAGCCATTCACCTGGAATAACTGGTTTCTCTTCCTGTCTTTTGGTATTAATCAACCAAAGGAATGGTAGATGACTGTAGTGAGATCTCATTCTGATATATTTGTAGCACGGATAGATGTCTGGGAACTCCAAGTTCCCTTTGTGGCTTAGCCCAAGGGCTATCTCTAATGATGCTTTTCCTGATTCTCCCAATTTTTAATGTTTGAACCTCAAAAGACAATAACTTTGTCTTTATTTTGTATTTTCTTATCTGTGTGAATATTGTTTTCCTCCAAGAAAATAAAAAATCCTTGAGGGTTGGGGGCTATTTTGCTTTTTATCTTTTTTTAACCTCATCCCCTGGCATGGTGCCTAATACAAGTAGGTGCCTGTAAGTGCTGAAATTGAAGTACTGGAGCAAATTGACAAATAGCTTAAATGATTGGATGCTCCATGAGGAAAGTAAAGCCTATGACCACTTCTTCTGATTTCACTCTTTTAATGATATCATCAAGAAAAGACTTAAGTGGGGCAGCTAGGTGGAGCAGTGGATGGAGCACCGGCCCTGAAGTCAGGAGGACCTGAGTTCAAA